CAAAATAGCAGGGATATCAGTGACCTGGGGAATCTCTAACACCCCCTAGAGGCTCAGGCAGAGGTCAGGCAGTTATCAAGGAACTCATGACCCTGAGGGCACCTTCTGGAGGTCAATCCTTCCATCCATGAGAGTGACCTTCTAGGGAACTGGTGATGTTTAAATATCTTTTCTTTATTGTCCTTAGTTTGGTCTAGGAATCTGAGTAAAACTCAATGTATAGCTGGATAGTCCTTGATCAAAAGGAACTAACAGTCCTAGGAAAATAAGACCTCCAGGAGGTTGCAAGCGAATGTGGAAAAGATAAACATGTAAACAAAAACTATCCACTGTGGCGGAAGCTGTAAGACAAGCATACACCAAGAGCATGTGGGTCCTAGAGAGGAGCATGGTGAGCTCTGCTTATGCGGAGACAGCAGATGCCTGGAAAATCATCAAATATTAGAGACAGACTTTGAAAGATGAATTCATCAGGAGAAGAGTAGAGGGCCAGTGCCACCTAAATCTGTTTTGTGAAATGTCCTTGTATGTCACGTGTACTGATAAATCAGATTTTAAAAATATATTGTTCAAAGTGTAATCGTCCAGAATAACTATATGATCTTATACAAGTATATCCCTTTAGTATGTATAGAATATTTCAATGTCATATTCAATTTTTATAATAGCACGGGAAGATAGGTCTTGTCATCCTTGATTTCACAAATGAGGACAAAGTCTCAAAGGATGCTAAGTTGCCTGCCCAGAGCTGCTGTGCTTTAACTGAAACCAGCTGCCTCAGTATTCATTCATATTCAGCAAACACATAGTGAGCTTCTCTCTACTGCCAGGCACTCTGCTAAATGCTGAGAAGATAAAGCCAATGCTCAAAAGAATTCCCAGAAAGGAAGGGGAAATAAATATATAAAATGATCACCAAATACAAGTTAAATGTACTACAAGGATGTGCAAGGGATTGTCGCAGAGAATATGTACAAAGGGAACTAGGAATTGCTGCTCAGAACAGGTGTCACTTGAATTCCATCTAGAAGGATGAGTAGGTATTTAGGGGGTAAAAGAGAGAAAGGTTGTTCCATGCATAGCAACTGCCCAGGCAAAGATGTGAAAACATGAGCAAGCATTACATGTGGCCAAATTGGGAGAAATTCATGGAGAACAGTGTTGGACTACAGAGGAGAGATACAGAAGCCAGATCAAAAACAGTATTTGTAGTCTGTGTTCAGGAGTTCAAATTTTCATGCTGTAAGTGGCTGGGATCCACTGGATGATGTTAATTGTGTGAGTGACAAGATCAAATTTGTTATTCAGAAAGCACACTCTGGCACAGTTCAGTGGGTAGAATAGAAAGTGGTTACCCTGGAGACAGGCAAACCCATTAGGAAGCTATGACAATAATCCAGGAGAGACAAAATGAGGGTAGTTATCGGAAGAAGGAACAGATTCAAAGACATTTTAGAAGTGGAACTGATGGTCAGGAGCAATTCATTGGGTATAAATGCTAGCCAAAAAGAGGAATCAGTGATGGCCAGGTTTCTGCCTTGGATTTCTAGGTGGAGAGGAAATCATCATTCAAAATACCAAAGGGACAGAAGGTTCGGGGGAGAATATTCTGAGTTCATAAGGGACTTACTGAATTTGAAGTATCCCTGCAACTTCTTTGTGAAGATATTCATGGTTAATACACTATGCTTAGCATTCAGAGCAAAAGTTATTACTAAAGAAATAGTTTTAGAAGTAATCATCAAATGGTTTGAATTTGAGATTTTGGTATTCTCCAACACTACAAGATCTGGGTACCATTGCTTCTACCCAATTCATTTACAGCATGGCTGAAGTAAGTACTAGCTCAACCTTTGTTCTAAAGGACAAATTAGCATAGCAGCTCAGTAAACAATGTCTCTGAGCTACTGGAAAGAAAGATGTCCAGTCACCATAAAGCCCAGAATTAATGAAAAGTCACAGAAATAATAGCTCTATTCTCTAGTTGTTTTTGAACCTCAAATCACTCATTGGCAACAAGGTAAGAATTTACAGAAACTGTTGAAAAGACTTTCTGGTAAATAGGGCAGCAGAAGAGTTTGTTTTAATATTTGTTTTAAACCATATATGTGGTTGCATTTTAAAACTGCTGGTTCACATATTTGACCCAAATTACTTTCCTAGTTGGAAAGCCAATTTTTATTTTGATTATAGGATATAATTTCTTGAAAAGATCTTTAATAAGTATAAGTTGCTACTTTTTATATATCTTTTACCAGATCAAATTACATAAATCAGATGACCCATGCTTATATAATAGATATATTTGCCTATATTTTAATTAGAAAATAACACTTGGAGAAAAATATTTTTACTTAGTTGCAAGCAACCTCAAAAATATAAATTTTAAAATATACAAATGAAAATTAATTTTTTTGTCAGGTGGGTTGAGAGGACCATAATGTCAAACCAGAACATTATTGATATTGATGTTTGGCAAAACATTAAAAGTTAATTTTTCTCCAAATTGTGATGGATAGGAAGCAACTCCATCATCTTTTCTCTTCCCATTCCCATGTGTACTAATTTGAGTCACATTAGAAAGAGTAGGGGACTCATTTGCCAAGGCAGAAATTTGTCCTAACAAATCTCAGACCTGAATTGCATTATGTGTTTTATCCTCTTACCCAGTTTTAGCAATAATTCTGTTCTGGGGACTCAATGAATTAACAAATATAGAACAATTAAAATGGTGATGATAAAACAATGCAGCAATTATCACATAATAAAAGTTCTGCATACCTTAAGTGCTTTTAGTATTAATTACTCATATCTCAATTTTTTTTCTGAAGAGTCTCATATTTAGGGAAGTTAAATGTTGACCCAAATCATACAGCTAGTAGGGCATGGGTCCAGGTGTGGAAGCCAGTTTTGCCTGTGTCAAGAGCTTTTCCTCTTTCCGTTTTTCTGTACTGCCACTTAGTGACAAGTGATTTTAGGTCCTACTGAAAATATTATCTTATATTCAGATTAATATAAAAAATTAGTTTTCTGTCTTTTGAAGTATCATCTCAATTAGTCTTACTTATGCCTAGAGATGTAGGGCCAGCATAGTGATGCAGGGCCTGTAATCCCAGCACTTGGGAGGCTGAGACAAGAGGGTGTGTGGCCAGTCTGAGCCACGCAGTGAGTTCAAAACCAGCCTGAACCACATAGTGAGATCTTGTCAAAAAAGCAATGACCAAAACAAAAAAGAAAATCGAGATGTCATTACCTATTCTTCTTTGTCAATATACTCTTAAAATAGTATAATTTAATATATTTCAGTTTCTATAACATAGCTCTCATTAAGTCTTCAGAATTAAGCTTCCATGGCTGAACAGAAAGCATAGCGAATTTCCAGTTCCACAAACTGGGAGAGATTACTTACATGAATGAAGTTATTTCTGTTTCCTTATCTATACAATAGAAGGTTGAATTGGATGTTCTCTCTGGTTCTCTTAATAACCTTATAAAATGGGTATGAATTTTGATTTCCCCCCAGCTAATGAAATTCTAGGATTCAGATCTTCGTTTCATTACACAAATTCTTTCCCATTCTACCAAGGTGCGCATTTGATGTAGCAGGCAGAGACACATTAATGGTACTCTGCACATCAGGTGGTTGCTTTTTTGTTGGGGAGACATAAACTTCAAAGTAATTAGCGTCTGTAACTGCTAACCTGAGATTTAAGTGGAGACTGACCTGCTAAAAGAAAACAGCAATAAGCTTGTTGATTTGCCCTTCATCAGTCAGCACTATAATTTGGCAGAGTGGACTTTGCCTACACCTGAAGTGCCCTCATGAGATAAATAGCAGGTGTCCTCTTTCTTTTGAATTGGCCGGCATTGCAGTGATATCAGTTATCATATGATATCCCAAACAGTAATCTCTGGCTGTTGGCAATTCACGTGGAGAAAGTGAAGAGTGATGTTAAGCACCTGGAAGTTTCAGTCATAGCTGGAATAAACGGAGAAGTCCAGAAGCCACCTAGACTATCACTGACTATTATATAAATATCATTTAATATTTAAACTGGGTGAGAAGTTACAAAACCTCTGATTGCACAAAAGCAGAGTCTCAACAAACAAAGCTGTCAGAGCCTTAGAGATTATCTGGCTTAGCTACCTTAGTCACAAACAAATTATGTAGGCAGAGGAAAAAAACTCGGGCTGGAAATGGTATTGGTTATTCTGTTTGGGGGAACTACAGAAGTAAATGGATTTTTCACAAACACTACCTGTCCAAGAAGTACCATCTATGCATTTACTGAATGCCTATTGACATTCTTCCATGTAAGTCCAAACTATTTCCTCTTTACTTCATGTGCAAGTAAATATTGGAAACCAACAGAGAAGTATTGGAAGGCATGCCCTCTTTTCCTCTCTTGCATCCTGCTCAGGTGCCATTATTCACTGGCTCCTCTGATTCATTCTTCACAGTCATCGCTGACTATCGCCTCTCTAAAGCCCTTCCGAAAACACTCCAACAAGGCCACTCATAGCAGATCTGTAGTTTGCTAATACTGTTTTCTCCCATTTCCATCCAGGGAGTCTATTTGTCCCAGTTCCTCTGAATCATTGTCACCGGTTGGGGATTTGGTTTCGATAATAGTGAAAATTCAAGAGATTTTTGAAGGAATTAATGTGCCCTCTACTGGATTTGTTTCAAACAGAACAGTACAGTCATTTTAGCGAACAAAAGGGTTCAAGTTCTGCAGTGAAGCTCCTTTCAGTGACATGACTGTCCTCAGGTCATAAGTCTTCTCCATCCAGATGGACCCAGCCAGCCCTGGGTGCACCCTGCTCCCATCAGAGTCCTGCACTCACAGCTTTGACTGCATGGAAGATCACGAGGGAGGAGTTAGCTGGTCCAGGGAGTTGGCCTTCCAGAATGAAGAAGAAAGGGAGTCTGACATCAGTTCCTAAGAAAGACCTAAAGCTGTTTGGTGTGGCTATGAGGATATGAATTTCCTGAGCAACCTGATGAACAAGTCTCATCACTTTGGAGTCTCTGCGTACATAGCCAGAATGTCAATCCTCCTTCACTTCCGAGATAAACCGACAGCAGGAAAGCCAAATTCTCTCCCTGCAACCCTTCAGACTCTAAGGTACACAGAGATATCTTTCATCTTGTTCTCCCCCTTCTTCCTTCCTCTTCCTTTTCCTCCCCCTCCCTATCCACCCGCCTCCTCCTTCTTCCTTCTTTTTGGCTTTCTCTTTTAAGACTGTCCTTGATGTCCAATGTAATCTGAACTCACCTAGGTAAAGAATAGCTTAGAAAGGCGATTTGAGCTCCTACTGAGGAATCAGGCTAAACAACTTAATAAGGAAAGAGTCATTTAATAATTCAAATTCCACGAGCTAAGACAGTGTAGGAGCATCTTGCTTCTCAGTGAGAGCATAAAATATTGGCAGCAAAAGTCTTGTTTTCTGGTTAATGCATTAATGAATTAATGAATTAACAAGATAAACACAAATAGATCCTATATCCATGTGACATCATAATTCATTTATTTGTATGCGGTAGATAAATCATCTGCTTTATTATTAAGATATTCCCAAAAGTAGCATTATAGTAATTTTAATTTTGTTAAAAATCATTAATTTTAGGGACAGAAGATACTGACCCACCAGCAAGAGTCAAGTGTTCTCAGCAGTGAAAAAGATTTGTAAGGCAGCAAGTGAGAAACTGTCTTAAAGGTGCTGGCTGACCCGTAGCTATGAAGTACAGAACACCCCACTGAAGGTTTAGCCTTACTCTCTGGAGTTCTCCACTCTCATCCCTGCCTCAGCAGTTCACATATTGATGCACTCAGAAGGGAGTATACAGATTTGATGAAACCCCAAAATGACTATGCAGTTGAGCCCTCACCCCAAACACAGTTCTTACCTCGATAATCCTTCCATAAAGCATGTATGTGATAAAATCAGATAGTGAAATAACTACACCTATACCACATAATAAGGGAAAAAATCTGACTAATCTTGTTTTAAAACTAAATATTCAAAAATTATCTCACTATATCTAGTTTACCATTTTTTAGCTAAGAGTGCATTGGACAAATAGCTACTATAATATAAAAAGAACTGAGATGTATTTTATTGTTAACATTTTTAACATGTTGGGATGAATGTCTGCTTCTGTCTGTGATACAGTACTGTAGGAGATCATATCAGACTCATTCTCTACCGAAAACTACTAAAAATCTGAACTAAAAACGAAATAAAATAAATAAAACACCTATTTGAAAGTTACTGAAAGAAATCAATGCAACGAGATTCTGAGTCCTGTAGGATTCAGCCAAAATTCTAAAGAGAAGGGCAGGGCGGTGCTTTGAGATGCACCCCACAAGCCCCTAGGGGATAGGTTGGTTTCTGGCACAGAGCACAGAAGGAAAACAGTGGCACAGAGTTTGTTCCATTCTCACTGCACTACAGAGATAAAAATCAAAGTTTTAATTGAGGAAATCAGAAAACATTTGAGCAATGTAGGAGGAGAAGTGCTTAGAGGGGAATTTTTAAACCCTGAAATACGTTTACTAACAAGAGGAAAAGGTAAACAATGATCTAGGCACCTAGCTCAAAAATTTGGGAAAAAAATATAAAATTAAACAAAAACAGAATGGAAGGTGATCACAACTTTAAAAAGAATAGTATTTCATGAAATAAAAATATTCAACTGTGAAAATAAAGCCAAAAGTTGGGTTAAAAAAAAACACTAATATAATTTACAAATCCTCAGCAGTATTGATTAAAGATAAGAGGAAAGATATTAGGTACAAATTATTAACAGTAGTAATAAAAAGGAAATATTACACATTAAAATATAGCAGATTATGACCAACCTTATGTCAATTAACTTCATCATTAAATACACAAATTATTTTAGAAAATATATTACCAAACTAATATATGTAAAGAAATAGAAAATCTCAATGATGCTATTCTACTATCTGTGAAAGAGGGTGAACTCAAAATTAAAAATATTTCTACAGAGAAAACTCTGGGCCCAGATTCCTCAAAAGGAAATCGTTTCAAGTACTTTTGAAAGAAATAATTTTAATTCTGCACAAATTGGTTTCATGTCTAGAAAAGACGGATTATTTCCTAACTCATTTTGATTATAATCATCTTGACTCAAACACCTAAGAATAAAAAGGAAAATTACAGATAAATCTCTCATGTGATCAGAGACACAAACATATTGAATAAAACACTAATACATTTAACCAACAATATGAAAAAAGCTAATATATCCCCATAAGACTGGGCTCAAATGATGAATGAAAAGTTGACTTACCATTCAAAAATTACCACTGTACTTCTGCATATTAATAGAATTAAGCACGCAAATATTTCTATAAATGTAAAAGAAAAAGGAACTTGCTATTTATGATGGAAATGAAATAAAATATTAATTATCTCTTAGCAAATCAGAAAGAAAAAATGTGCTTAACAAAGAATACCTTCAGTGAAAATGTATACTTAATGATGAAATGTGAGGAATTTTTTCCTGTAATAAAGATATCCTAAGAGATAAGGCTAGCCTCATCATGCTTTCCATTTACCTTTATTCTGGAAGTCCTGCCCACACAATAAGGTAAGAAGAAGAAATAAAATACATAAGAATTGAAGAGGAGATATGAGAGCATGCACAGAAGATCTAAAAGATGAATATTAAAATCAATAAGCTGATTTATCAAAGTGAATGGGTACAAAGCCAATATACAACAACAGACTGTACTCATATAATGTCAATAAGTAACTGGAAAATAAAATGCAAACTCAATAACGGTGTTTACAATAACATCAAAAACTAAATATGCAGGCTGTCTAGCAAAAGTGTGTAAAAAGCAAAATTATAAAACGATATTAAAAACAAGTAAAGATCTAAGTCAATGTAGGATAGCTATGTCCATAAGTCAGATTATTCAATAATGTAGGAAAGAAATTTCTCCCCAAACTTATGTATGTTTTCCATGTTCAGACATCTTATTTAAGTGCACTTCAATGTATTGTGCCTACAAATATAATTTTGGTTTTGTTGTTGTATTTTTATAAATTGAAGGTTTATGGCAGACCTATGTCAATCAAGTCATCAGTGCCATTTTTCTGATAGCTCAAATGATTGATCTTTTAGCATAATAAAACAATAAAGCTTTTAAATTAAAGTATGTATAGTGTTGTTTTTTATAGGAAAAAATCTTTCATTTCATTGTATTGATAGGGCTGGGGATTTAACTCAGTGGTTCTGGTGCCTGCTCACAAGCACAAGGACCCGAGTTCCATCCCCGGTACAGAAAAAAAAAAAAAAAAAGTTAAAAATTGTGTTGGTACATGTTTGCAGTATATAATGATTACATTCACTGAAGGGAATTACAACATGTACATAATACATCTTAATTTTTTTTCCTTCCTCTGTCCCCTATTATTTTGCCAGCATTAGATTAATTTATTTATCTTATAAGATTTATAAATTCAACTATCATATATACAGATTAAAAATCAAACTAATAGTCTAAAAAATACACAACATATAAGACAATCGTACTAAGTCGAAATGTTATTGTACACTGAATAGATCTCAGTATAGAGTAAATATAACCTTTATGTTGACTGGAAAACTAAAAAATTTGGGTACCTTACTTTCTTGTGGCATTGCTTTTTATTACAATGGTCCAGGAACTGAAGCCACAATATCGCTGAGGTATACCTGTACTCGTAATCAAAATTTCAACAGGTATTTCTATAGACTTTGAGAAATTAATTTAAAAATAGAAATGTAAAAGGTCAAGAATGGCTACACTACCTTGAAGAAAAAAAAAAGAAAAATAGAAGACTTACTGTAACAGCAGCTATTAAAATGTATTTATAGCCACTGTAATTCAAAGTTTTTCATGGGTTAAAGGACAATTAATTAATTGAAAAAATGTTCCAGAGACAAACTCACATATATACAGATACTTCATTTATGACAACGATATCATCCTAAACAGTTATTTCCTTTCTCCTCCCCCTTGGCATCTCTGAGAAAGTGGTGCTGTGTTAAGTATATATCCTTAAAAGGGAAAAAGAAAAAAGAAACCAAGTCCTACCTCACTATTTTACATTATATACAAAATCAATTCCAGGTGGAACAGATATCAATATGAAAAGTAAAACAATATGTATTCTGGAAAATAATATATCCCTGAGCTCAGAATTAGTAAAGATTTTTAAAAATAGTACACAAAGGGCTGGGGATTTAGCTCAGTGGTGCCACCGCCTGCTTCCCAAGTGCGAGGTCCCGCGTTCAATCCCCAGTACCAAAAATAAAACAAAAGTACACAAAACACTATTAAAAATAATAGATAAATAGGATTTTACTAATTTAAAGACAGCTGAGCCATGATGCTTGCCCTTTCCATATTTTAGAAAACAGCAATCAAAATTGTTTGTTTTTTGAAACTGAGTCTTATTATGTAGTTCAGCCTGGCTTTGAACTCACTATGTAGTTCAGACTGGCCTCATAGTCTTGGTGATCCTCCTTCCTCAGTCTCCCAAGTGCTAGGATTATGGGTATGAGCCACTATGCCTGGTCGTGGTTTTACATAAAATATCTAACTTTAAGAATTTCTGACTATTCAAACTTTCCAAAATCAATATATGGATAAATTAACCATATATTATTATCAGAAACCGTGTGTTCTAAAAATTTTCAAAGCATTAAATTGCTCAAGAATAGGAAATCCCTTCACAGAGTTATAAGAGAAAATTACTTCATTGTAAATTAGCCAATCCTGTTTCAAAGTATATATTGGGCCAAGAATTAAGTCTGTTTCTTAGAAAGTGTTTTAAAATAAAAAGTAGCTAAAAAGGGAAAAATTAATTAAAATGTCTGTGAACACCTGGCTTCATTCTTTTCAGATAGGCTTTTCTGGAGCAGTTTTGATAGAATGAACTCAATGAGATACTGCCTAAAAGAGGACCCCAGGAAGCCCCGAAAGATGTCCTGGTAAAACACAAGTGAGTATATGAAACATACACAAATATTCTACCTCACTCAGAGAACTGCAGCCACAGAACTATACTTAGAATTTATGGTAGAAGCTAAAAATCTCAGAAACATCTATGTCAATGTTATTGAACTGTGTTGAGGAAGTAAGGAGACATAGACAAGTTTCAATCATACAAACAGAGCAAACACAGTACCCTTGCTATGCAGAAGCCAGGAGCCGTTCAAGTTCATAAGTATATATAAGTAATCTCCAGACCGTGAGACTATACTATTAAAAGGGGAGAGATGCCATATCAGTTTCATAAAGCAAAAAGACTGATTTGCAAAGTAATAGGTCCAGAAGGCCTGGCTGGCTACAGAATTTTTGAGGCCCTGTGAAAAATGAAAATGTGGGGCTCCTTGCTCAAAAATTATTAAGAACTTCAACACTTGGAGATAGAGCATGAATCTAAGAGGAAGTTCCCTCTGGCCAGAAGTGACAGGGAACGACTTCATAGGGAAACCACGCTTTTCTTCTGCACTTGCCAGCAGAGGAAATGACAGCCTGAGCAATGTGGTCTCTGGGCACCCAAAAGGACATTGTGAAGGTTTGCGGTGTAATATGCTTTTCATGTGAAGTTAAATAAGAGATACTATCCTCTCACTGAGACTAACTGCATTTTTACTTCTGAATAGGATAGTTTGCTGATTCACGGCTGCGATTTTTAGAATACATTCCTATTTCTATTCCTAATCTTGTATTCCATAGACTGCTCAGAAAGAAGGTATTGTGTGTGATGACTTTTTTTTTTAATGCCCCACTAAGCTTTTAAACTAGGCCAAGCAGACGTGATGGTTGTGCACACATACACACACACACACACACAGTTTAGCCTGCTTTAATTCCATTAATTAATATGAGGAGTAATACTGGCTATTTAGAATATTTAGCATGCAAAGAATGAAATAATGTCATTGCATGAAAAATGTAGGATTTAGTTTCAACTGTGTGCTGTTCCATTCTGCTTTATCTAACCACTTTATCTGCATGGATTTCTTCCAGGAGATAAAGCTATCAATCAGATTGTTGTTGCTGTTGTTTGTTGTTATTGTTGTTGTGAGTTGCAGCTCATGATGTCAGGTTGTATATAAAAATTGCAGATGGATTTTTTTTCTCTCTTGATTTTAAAAGGGCTTACAAAGCTCAACAATATAGATATCATATTTATCCTAGGCACACAAATAGGTGTCAAAAATATCTTTCTCCTAAATACAAAATACTTATCTCCTGTTACATTTTTGTAAAGATGAAAAAGCACAAAACTTCATTTTATCAGAAGGAAACAAAATATAGATTTAACAGTATAGTCTGCTGTTTTTTACTATTTAAAGAATATATTTCCAAAATCAATATTTACTCCTACTTAGGTTTCTTGGAAGAGAAGAATGGAATTGAATATGAGAAAATGTAACCGGTAATGAACAGTAAGAAAGGGGTATTTACACTTTTCCTTTGGCAGTTTGGCAGTCCATCCTGTGAAATAATAATGAAGCTGAGGGATTGAAGATAGTGATCATTTGCTTTTATGTGCTAGGGAGCCACTACCTCAGCTGGTAGAACCCACTAAGGAGTAGCAACTGCTAGGAGGAAGCAAATCAACCTTATGAATAATTTAGTGAAAGGATGCTGCGGGACAGACTTTATGAAAATGTGTACAAAGTGAAGAGTTGGTGCTATGTGATATGGAATTAATACTTGTCTTAGTTCGGGTTGTAGGAAGAGCATAAAAAGGCATTAACTCCTTATATTTTTATTTATTCTATTAGCATTTTATACTATACAGGTAATCCTTAAGTTCAAATGCTTTGATGTATGAGTTTTTGACTTTTCAATGGTGCAAAGACAATTTACATTCAGCAGAAACCAGACATTGGAATTTGAATTTCTATCATTTCCTGAGTTAGCAAAGCTGGGTAGCAGAGGTAAGCTACAGTGCCCAGTCAGCCACATGATTAAGAGGAGAAATGGCTAATAGTCTACAGTGTTTTGTGTAGCTGCTTGTAAGCCAAGAGGTTTAGTAGGTTAGGAGCATTCAATGGATATTCAGCTTCCTACAATTTCAGTTGAAGATAGGTTTATCAATGCATAATCCCATTACATATGAAGGCATGTTTGTACTTTGACATCTTTTCAACTTTGAATATTGGTTCACTATATATCTCCATATTCTTGCTTTTCTTACATGCCATTCCATAAACGCAGAAAAGAAAAGCCCCTGCTACTTAAGGTTCATCTACCATATTTTGAGCATTATTTTCTAACACTCTTCTTTGAACCAGCTCTCTTCCTTTGTGCTGATCTTTTCCATCTCTCACTTAGAATATTTAATTTTACTTTATTTCATTAAGTTTATTCGTACTTTTTAGGTATATAGTACAGTTACATTCATCATTGGGATCTTGTGCATTTATGTGATGTATTTTTGTTCTTATTTTTTCCCTATTCCACTGCCCTCTGTTCACCCCCTTCACCCTTCCCTATTTATAAAGACTTTGTTTCCATTTTTTCCTTTTCTCATATTTTTTCTTTTCCCTTCTTTCCTTTATCTTACTTTTCCCTTTTCCCTTACTCCTTTAGACCTTTTCTTCCTATTTCACATTATCAATTATACAATTTGAACCTTATTTACACTTCTGTTTTTTCACACCAGAGAAACTATTCAGTATTTACACATGTCTTATTTATTTCACTTAAGAATATAGCCTCAAAATGCATCCATTTAGCTATAAATGACTCTAGTTTCTCATTCTTTATGGCTGAGCAGTACTCCATGTTATAAAAAAAAATATCTTTATCTAGTCTCTAGTTGATGGACACTTGGGCTGTTTCCAAATTTTAGCTATGACAAACCGTGCAGCTAAAAACACAGGTGTGCATGTATTGCTGTGGTATGATTCTTTTAGTTCTTCTGGGAAGATATCCAACAGAGCGATAGTAGGGTTAAATGGGACCTCTAATCCTAGTTTTTTGAGGTATCTCCAAATTGATTTCCAAACTGGTTGCACCAGTCTGCACTCCCATCAACCATGAAGAAGGGCTCCTATCCCCCAACAACCCTGCCAGCATTTGTTATTCATTGATTTCTTGATAGTAGCCATTCTTTCTGGAATCTCAGTGTTGTTTTTATCTGCATGTCTTGAATGACCAGTGATGTTGAACATTTTTTCATAGGTTTACTTGCTGCTTTTACTTGTTTGTCTATGAAGTGTCTGTTCATTTCAGATGCCCATTTTTGAATCAGGTCTGTATATTTGGGGGGCTGGCTTTTTTAAGTTCTTTAATCTGTAGTAGACCTTTGTCTGAGGAACAGCTGGTAAAATTTTTTTCTCACATCGTAGGTTGTCTCTTAGCTCTGCTGGTGGTTTCTCTTGCAGTGCAGAAGCTTTTTAATAAGATGAGATCCCAGTTGTTAATTCTTTGTGCTAGTGAGGATTTGTTCATAAAGTCATTTCCTATGCCAGTGTCTTTGAGAGTTCTGCCTTTTATTCCAGAAAGTTTAGTGTTTCTGTTTTAATATTTACATCTTTAATCCACTTCAATTTTAGTTTAGTGCATGGTGAAAGATAGGGGTCTAGCAAGATGAAATCCAGTTTTTCCAACACAGTTTATTGAAGAGGTTATCTTTTCTCCAGTGAGGATGGTTGGCTCCTTTGTCAAAGATGAGGTAGCCGAGTACATCTGGAGTTGTTTCTGTATCCTCCAATCTATTCCACTGATCCTCGGGCCTGTTTCTTTGCCAGTACCATGCTGTTTTTATCACGGTGGCACTGTAGTATAGTTTCAAGTTGGGGATTGTGATACCCACTGTCATGTCTTTGTTGCCTAGAAGGGTTTTTGTTATTCTATGTCTCTTCTAGTTCCAAATGAATTTTTCTATTGTTTTCTCTAGTTCTGTGAAATATAATACTGTTGGTATTTCAATCAAGATTGCATTGAATTTGTATAGCACTTTTGGAAGTATCACCATTTTCACTATGTTGGTTCTTCCAACCCAGGAGCAGGGGATATCTTTCCATTTTTTTATATCCTCTTCAATCTCTTTTTTCAGGGTACTGTAATTTTCAGTGTAGAGGCCTTTTGTTTCCTTCCTTAGATTGATTCCTACATATTCCATTTTTTGGATGTTATTATGAAAGGAATTGTTTCCTTAATTTCTCTCTCCATGAGTCTGTTATTTGTGTACAAGAAAGCTATTGATTTTTGAGTGTTGAACTTGTATCCTGCTACTCTTCTAAATCTATCAATGAAGACTAAGAAGGCTTTTGGCAGAGTTTTTGGGGTCTTCTATGTAGAGAATCATATTGTCAGCAAATAATGACAATTTAACTTCTTCCTTTCCTATCTTTATTACTTTTATTTCTTTCTCTTGTCTAATTGCTGTGGCGAATGTTTCCAGAATTACATTGAGCAGGAGTGGTGACAGTGCACGTCCTTGTCTTATTCCTGATTTTAACAGGAAGGTTTCCAGTTTTTGACCATTTAGTATGATGTTGGCTCTTGCTTTTTCATAGATAGCCTTTATCAGGTTGAAATAAAGACCATCTGTTCCAATTTTCTGCAGAGTTATTATCATAAATCCGTGTTGAATTTTGTTGAATGCTTTTTCTGAATCTATTGAGATGATCATAGGGTTTTTGTCCTTGACTCTGTTAATATAGCGTATTACACTTATTCATTTGTGTGTGTTGAACCATCCTTGCATCCCCAGAGTAAATGACCCTCTGTATTCTGTTTGCCAATATTTTATTAAGGATTTTTGCATCTATGTTCATTAGGGAGATGGATTTGTATTTCTCTTTTTTGAGTGCATCTTTCCCTGGTTTTGCAATCGCAGTAACCCTTGCTTTCAGGAATTCAGAAATATTGTTTGCCTTTCAATTTCACTGAAAATTTTAAAGAGTAGTGGCAGTAGTTCTTCTCCACATTTTTTGTAGAATTCAGCAGTGAAGCTATGAGGATCTGGGCTTT